GCGGCCGGCCAGCCATCGGCTGGGCAGGGAGCCCTGGGGGGGCAGGGGAGCAGCTGCACATGCCCACAGAAGCCGCTTCCGGCCAGCCCAGCGCTTGGGATATCCACACCCAAAACCGACCCAGCAGGAGCCACGGCAGCCCCATGGGGAGCATCCCCTGCTCTCCCGCTGTGGCCAAGGCGGCTCTCCTCCCTGATACAGCCCCGTTCTCCCAACCCTCTGGGCTGCCCAGCCATAGGCCCTGCACACCTACGTGGTTTGGTGGGCCGTGGTGGTCCGGCCAAAATAGTCAAAGGAGATGTCAAACCACCGGTAGATCTGGGTGTGGACGGTGTTGTACTTGTCACAGATCTGCTGGGGCGTCAGCCCCTCCTCCAGGGCCTTGGTCTCCGTGGCAGTGCCGTACTCGTCCGTGCCGCACACGTACAGGGTGTTCCAGTTCCGCAGGCGGCAGTACCTGGCCGAAGGGGGAGCCTAAGGTCAGCAGCCACTTGCCACGTGGCAGCTGCCAGAGCTGAAGCCGGCAGTTCGCGGCCGCTCTGGACTGCGGTATATATTGTGGCAAACAGGGAACATTTAATTTGCATATTTGTTATTTTGCATAATGAATATGCAAATAAAAGGATGCAGGCCCGCCCACAGTTTGTGAATGGGTTTGCGGAGCTGCGGTATAAAAAGGTTAGGATCCACTATCCCAGGAGATGGAGCCCCTGCCCTTTAGGCTGCCAAGGCCCGTGGGGCTTGAGAGCTGCGGCACTGGGCCCCGTGGGCAGTGAGGACCTGGGGGGCAGGCTGTGGGAAGCTTGGCGTGGGCCTCCAGGCTGCAGAATGAGAAGTCATCGCCCGCTGGGGCCAGCCCTGGCCCTCCTCCAGGGTAGGACACGGCAGGCGGGGGCTGGGGAGACCCTGCCCCCTTCCTCTGGAGGCCAGCGGTGCTGCGCTGGGGGCTGGCGGGGGCCTGGGGAGACCCTGCCCCCTTCCTCTGGAGGCCAGCGGTGCTGCGCTGGGGGCTGGCGGGGGCCTGGGGAGACCCTGCCCCCTTCCTCTGGAGGCCAGCGGTGCTGCGCTGGGGGCTGGCGGGGGCCTGGGGAGACCCTGCCCCCTTCCTCTGGAGGCCAGCGGTGCTGCGCTGGGGGCTGGCGGGGGCCTGGGGAGACCCTGCCCCCTTCCTCTGGAGGCCAGCGGTGCTGCGCTGGGGGCTGGCGGGGGCCTGGGGAGACCCTGCCCCCTTCCTCTGGAGGCCAGCGGTGCTGCGCTGGGGGCTGGCGGGGGCCTGGGGAGACCCTGCCCCCTTCCTCTGGAGGCCAGCGGTGCTGCGCTGGGGGCTGGCGGGGGCCTGGGGAGACCCTGCCCCCTTCCTCTGGAGGCCAGCGGTGCTGCGCTGGGGGCTGGCGGGGGCCTGGGGAGACCCTGCCCCCTTCCTCTGGAGGCCAGCGGTGCTGCGCTGGGGGCTGGCGGGGGCCTGGGGAGACCCTGCCCCCTTCCTCTGGAGGCCAGCGGTGCTGCGCTGGGGGCTGGCGGGGGCCTGGGGAGACCCTGCCCCCTTCCTCTGGAGGCCAGCGGTGCTGCGCTGGGGGCTGGCGGGGGCCTGGGGAGACCCTGCCCCCTTCCTCTGGAGGCCAGCGGTGCTGCGCTGGGGGCTGGCGGGGGCCTGGGGAGACCCTGCCCCCTTCCTCTGGAGGCCAGCGGTGCTGCGCTGGGGGCTGGCGGGGGCCTGGGGAGACCCTGCCCCCTTCCTCTGGAGGCCAGCGGTGCTGCGCTGGGGGCTGGCGGGGGCCTGGGGAGACCCTGCCCCCTTCCTCTGGAGGCCAGCGGTGCTGCGCTGGGGGCTGGCGGGGGCCTGGGGAGACCCTGCCCCCTTCCTCTGGAGGCCAGCGGTGCTGCGCTGGGGGCTGGCGGGGGCCTGGGGAGACCCTGCCCCCTTCCTCTGGAGGCCAGCGGTGCTGCGCTGGGGGCTGGCGGGGGCCTGGGGAGACCCTGCCCCCTTCCTCTGGAGGCCAGCGGTGCTGCGCTGGGGGCTGGCGGGGGCCTGGGGAGACCCTGCCCCCTTCCTCTGGAGGCCAGCGGTGCTGCGCTGGGGGCTGGCGGGGGCCTGGGGAGACCCTGCCCCCTTCCTCTGGAGGCCAGCGGTGCTGCGCTGGGGGCTGGCGGGGGCCTGGGGAGACCCTGCCCCCTTCCTCTGGAGGCCAGCGGTGCTGCGCTGGGGGCTGGCGGGGGCCTGGGGAGACCCTGCCCCCTTCCTCTGGAGGCCAGCGGTGCTGCGCTGGGGGCTGGCGGGGGCCTGGGGAGACCCTGCCCCCTTCCTCTGGAGGCCAGCGGTGCTGCGCTGGGGGCTGGCGGGGGCCTGGGGAGACCCTGCCCCCTTCCTCTGGAGGCCAGCGGTGCTGCGCTGGGGGCTGGCGGGGGCCTGGGGAGACCCTGCCCCCTTCCTCTGGAGGCCAGCGGTGCTGCGCTGGGGGCTGGCGGGGGCCTGGGGAGACCCTGCCCCCTTCCTCTGGAGGCCAGCGGTGCTGCGCTGGGGGCTGGCGGGGGCCTGGGGAGACCCTGCCCCCTTCCTCTGGAGGCCAGCGGTGCTGCGCTGGGGGCTGGCGGGGGCCTGGGGAGACCCTGCCCCCTTCCTCTGGAGGCCAGCGGTGCTGCGCTGGGGGCTGGCGTTTATTACGGGAGAGCGCCCCGCAGAGACAGTACGTCCCCACCTGTGTTCCCTGTAAGCTGAGCGCTTGGGCAGCCGCCCAGGAGAGATTCGGGTGCTGCCCAGCTGCCAGCACGTGCCGGCAGTGCACATCTGCACATGCCCCGGTGCACGTCACATTTATTCCGCACGTGGATGGAAAAAAAGAGAGGAACGCTGGTCCCCGCAGCTGCTAGGATTGCATGCTGGGACTTGTCTCCCGGGGCAAGCTCAACTTATCAGCGACAGAAGCTACAAGCTGCTTCCTTCCCGCCCCGGCCAGCTGCCCGCACAGCCATGCGGGGCCAAGTCAGAGCTCCCCTGGGCTAACGATTTCCCTGAGTTCAAAAGCCAGGACTCCTGGGCTCTGCTCCCAACCCAGCCATGCCCCCGCCGGCACCGAGCGTTACTCACCCCGGCGAGGTAGGGAGCAGCCTTGCCGGTCAAGCGTTGATCTATGTAGCTGAGGGTTTTCCCTAGGACCTCTCCTCCTTTCTTTCCTTGCACCACGTGGCGATAGAGGGCCGTGGAGACGGCCGGCTAAGGACACGGAGACACAGGTTAGGCAGGCCGGAGCAGCGCCCAGGAGAGCCCGTGGGTCGGAGCGGCGCAGGCTCCCCCTTAGCGACACGCCACAGTGCTGCCGCCAAATGCCAAGTGGTCGTTTTCCGGGTGACCCACCTGCAGCTCCGTTGCCTCCCATTCGAGCCACTGATTGGTGAGGTCGCTTGGCTCCTTTCCCGCCAGGAGGAAGAAGTGGCTGGGGACAGGAAGGAAGGGGAGCGCTGAACCCGCCTCCGAGGAAGAGTTCAAGGGACTTTGCAGCTCGGGGAACTCCAGAGTCTTGGGGCAGCCTGCACCCCAAATCCTTCATCCCCAGCTGCACTCCAGAGCCTGCACCCCCAGTCCCTGCACTCCAACTCTCTGCCCTAGCTCTGAGCCCTGCATCCCAGACCCCACCCCAAATCTGCACCCCCAGCCAGAGCCCTCCCACCCTCTGCCCCAGTCCTGAGCTCCCTCCAACATTTTGAACCCACCTCGCCACAAGAATTTTGTTATGTGCACCAATATGCAGGCCATGTGTGCTGGTGCGCATAACAAAATTCATTCCACACACACGTGGGAAAAGTCAGAGGGAACATTGGCCCCCCACACTCCCTCAAGGTGGGTCACAAACTCATCTTGCTCCTGCACCTTGCGCCCCACCCAGCTCCAGAGGCCGCGTATCCAGGAGCCCCAGAGAGGAAGAGGCAGATACCATGCATGCATAAACATACCCCACCCAGGCTGTCCTGGCTCCTGGAAAAGCCCCTGGTGCCCAGATCCCACGCCAGAGCCCACTCTCCCAGCTGTCACCTCACCTCCCTCCCAGGGCCCCCAAAACTGCAGGAAACAGCTCAACGAAATCGGGGGGTTGCTAAGCACAGGATCCTGGGGCGGGACCGACACTGGGCACTGATTGCCCAAGAACTGGGCAGCAAGAGGTGAGTTCCTCATTCCATGGCAGCAGGAACTGGGCAGCGGGTTGGAGGTGCCCGTTTGCAGGAGCTGCCTTGGCCCAGCAAGGCCTCCAGCCCAGAAACCAGGCGGGGATTCGGGGAGAAGAGGAAAGTGCCGCTGTCCAGGTGCAGGGCTGGCACCCGCGGGTGGGTGAGGAAAGGGACCACGTGACCTGCAGAGGGGAAAGCATGTGGCATTAGGGCTCTAGGGAAGATCCAGACCTAGGGACAGGGGAGGCCTGGGGCGCACAAGCCCTGCAGGAGCTGAGGCACCACGGATGCCTCGGGGTAGCCCTGAGGGAGGTGACCCCAGAGAAGCAGGGCCTAGGGAAACAGGCGGTGGGAGATTCCAGAGAGGGCAGATGGGGCAGCAGGAGGGTCCCTAAGGATTCTGGGAAGGTGATAGAAGATGGTCCCTAATAAGGGAGGGGGGCCATAAGCATGTGGGAGGATACAGCCGGGAGGGGAACAGGAAAGAGAGAGAGCATGGTGAGAGGGCCAGGGGCAGAAGCACCCCAGAGAAGAGAAGGGATGTGCCCTGGATAGAAAGGGGGTGAGTGAGACATGGGGAGGGGCATGACCAGCATTCCTGGGGGAGGCACAGGAATGGGGGGGGGCAGTTCCCAGGCCAGCGGGGATTGACAGGAGAGGCGCACCAGGGTAGTGGCGCACTAGAAGCCTGGGCTCAGAGAAGGGGAGGTGGGTGGTGGGACACTGGGATGGGCGGGGGACCCCCACTAGGGCAGGTGGGAGGCACAAGGTGAGGGATGCTGCCAGGGCAGCCGGTC